GTCAATTTTATTAACCTTCTCAAAGAACCAGCTCCTTGTTGCATTTATTTTTTCTATTTTTTGTTTTGTTTTGTTTTGTTTTCAGTTTCATTTACTTCTGCTTTAATTTTGATGATTTCTTTCCTTCTGTTGACTTTAGGCTTCATTTGTTCTTCCTTTTCTAGTTTTTTAAGATGAGGCATTAAGTTGATTATTTGGGCTCATTCTTGTTTTTGGAGATAGGCCTGTAATGATATGAACGTTCCTCTTATGACAGCTTTTGCTGTGTCCCTAAAGTTTTGATATGTTGTACTGTCATTATCATTCGTTTCTATGTATCTCTTGATCTCTCTTTTTATTTCTTCTCTGACCCAATTATTCTTCAGTGACATGTTGTTTAATCTCCATGTATTTGTGGTTCTTCCCACTTTCCTTTTACAGTTGATCTCTAGCTTCAAAGCATTATGATCAGAGAATGTGGTTGGTATGATTTCAACCCTCTTATAGTTGTTGAGGCTATTTCTGTGTCCCAGTATGTGCTCAATTCTTGAGAACGTTCCATGTGCACTCGAGAAAGTGTATAAGCAGCTGTTTTGGGATGGAAGGCTCTGTAAATGTCAGTTATGTCCAGTTGGTCTAATATGTCATTTAAGGATGTTATTTCCTTATTTTGTTTGGATGATCTGTGCATATCCGACAGTAGAGTATTTAGGTTCCCTGCTATGATAGCATTTTGGTCTGTTTCTCCCTTTAGTTCTGTTAGTAATTGCTTTACATATTTCGGGGCTCCCTGAATCGGAACGTAGATGTTAAGTTGTTATTTCTTCTTGGTGCAGGATTCCCTTTATCATTATGAAGTGTCCCTCAGTACCTTTCTTTACCTTTTTTATTTTGAAGTCTATTTCTTCCATTACTCCCGCTTTTCTGTAAATGCCATTTACTTGAAATATCATTTTCCACCCTTTCACTTTACATCTATATTTGTCTTTGGAACTGAGATGTGACTCCTGAAGGCAGCCTATGGTTGAGTTTTGTTTTTCGATCCAATCTGCAACTCCGTGCCTTTTTATTGGTGAATTTGGTCCATTTACGTTTAGGGTGATTATTGAAATATTAGGTTTTCCTATAACCATTTTTTCCTTTGCTTTCTGGTAGCTTGGTGTTTCCATTGCTTCCTTGTCGTTGTGTGTGTTTTAATTTTGGTTGAGTTTTGCGGGATTTCTCTCTGGTCCTTCTTGTTTTATGTTATATACTTCAATTCTAAATCTTTGGCGTGTGGTTACCATTGTGAATATGTAAAGGATAGTTATATATACAGTTATCCATTTTCTTCTGCATGTGCTATATTCCATTCCCCTTTGCTAATTTGGAGCTTTGAATCATACCTTTTTCTGTCATTGTCGTCTCAGTTTGTTCTTATGTGTGCTGAACATTCATTATTACCTTGCAATTCTCTTCTTATTGTTTAAGCTTATAATGTTCTGTTCTTAGTAAGGGTTGCACTCATCTGCTTCTTTCTATCTGCCTGCTAGTTGCCTTACTCCTAATTATTTTTTTGTCATTTTATTTTAGGTGAGCTGACCCCTTTCAGTATTTCCTGTAATGCAAGCCTTGTAGCAGAGAATTCTCTCAATTTTTATATGGAAAGGTCTTTATTTCTCCTTCATATTTAAAGGAGAGCTTTGCTGGATACATTATTCTAGGCTGGTAGTTCCTTTCATTTAATAGTTTGAATATTCGATTCCACTCCTTTCTGGCTTACAAGGTTTGTACTGAGAAGTCCGATGATAATCTAATGGGTTTTCCTTTATAGGTTACCGTCTTCCCTGGCTGCCCTGAGAATTCTGTCTTCGTCATTGATTTTTGATAATTTTAATACCATGTGTCTTGGTGAAGGCCTTTTTGGGTTGAAATAATTGGGTGTTCCATTGACTTTTTGAATTCCAAGCTCATTCCTTAGATTTGGAAAATTCTCGCTAATTATTTGTCTGAAAATGCTTTCTAATCCCTGCTCCTTTTCCTCCCCTTTGAGAATGCCCATTATTCTTATGCTTCCTCTCTGATGGTATCAGCTAGTTCTTGTATTTCTTTCATTATTTTTCATTCTTAGTTTTCTCCCCTCTTCCTTCTGGTTTATTTCTAGATTTCTGTCTTCGATATCACTGATCCTTTCCTTCATTTGGTCGACTCTATTTCCCAAGCTTGCTATTTCATTTTTCATCTTTTGCAATGTGTTCTTTATCTCCAGAAGTTCTATTTGGTTCTTTTTGTGGGTTTCAGTCTCCTTGCTGAACTTATTCCGCTCATCTAATTGTTTTTTCAATTCCTGAAATTGTTGATATGAATTGTTTCACATCTCACTGAGGTTTTTCAGAAGTACCATCCTGCATTCTCTGTCATTTAAGTAGCATATCTGTATGTCTGGAAGCTTATGTTCTGGAGATTTTTTTTCTTTCTGAGCTGCCCTGTCACCTTGGTTGTTCATGTTGTTTAATGGATTATTTCTCCACCTGGGCATTAATGGAAGTATATTCTGCTTTTTTTCCAGAAAGAAGATTTATTATATAAAGATCTCTCTTTAGCCTGTTGCAAAGAAGGCATTTTTCTTTTGGTTTCCAGTAGGCAGTGTCTAAAGCCTCTTGGATCCCTGCTTTATATATAGTCTTAATAATAAAAGTTTTTTTCCTTATAGATATTTAATCACACTTGCTACCCTTAGTGGTCGGTCCAGTCAGTGTTAGTGACAGGTTTGGTAGCATTTGCTCAGATTCCCCTAGGGCTCCACTGCATTCCGTGTCTCCGAGGGTATGGGGGGAGGGTCCCTCTGGGTTGGGGGTTGGAGTCTGTGGCTCAGCCTCTGTTTTGTAGCCATGGCTGTTAAAAATCAACTGCTGTTTCTCTGCCGTCCCCACTTCTCTGCCATCCCAGCTTCTCTGTCATCCCTGCTTCTCTGCTTTCTGCCCTGATGACTGGGCAATGTGGCCAGCCACGTGGAGCTTCCGGGTCTCCCAGGCAGGGCTGTTCAGGGAAGTCGCCACACCTTCTTCCCTACCCCTCCTCCTGCAAGAGCTCCGCCTGAGGGAAGCAGCTTCTTTGTTTCTCCCAGTCCATCGCCCGACACCCGGGGTTCTGACCTGTGGTAGCTCTTATGCGCAGATCCCACGCTCTGAAGTACTGGTATGCTTTTCGGGGTGTTTTTTGTTGAGTTTTAGATGTTCAGCTTATTGTTTTTTTCAAGGGGAGAGATCTGACGACGTCTCTCTCTCCGCCATGTTTCTTACCCCTACTCTTTTCCTGCTAACATACTCCTTGATTTTTCTTTTATAAAGCAAACAAACCCATAAAACTTTGGGTTCTTCAGAACTGAAATATGGATACTGTTATAAATATACTTGTTAAACATCAGCAAAATCTTTTTACCCATTAAAACAGTCAAGAAATATTCTGATTTCAGGCCACGACATGCTCCTGGCGGTCAGGCAGCAGCAGCAGCGTTTCAGCGATTTGCGAGAGCATTTTGCCCGGAGACTGGCCAGTCATCTCAACAATGTTTTTGTTCAACAGGTAATTTTATTTTTTATTAATACTAGCATGTTCCTGTAGCTTTTTTATATATTGCCTTAAACATGAATTCCCAAGAAAAATTTTAATGTGTTTGATTGGAATCACAGCATATTTCTTCACATATTTATTTGATTTTAAGATTTTTTAAATAAGTGCATATTTGCTCATAGATATTTTTGGGCCCCAACTGCCTCCTTAGGTAGACAGTCTAGTTCATTTCAGCTAAAATTCTCAGATTCTAGAAATCACAAATAACTATGCTTACTTATTGCATATACCATTTAGACCTACTTATTTATAAAAAGTCCAAACTTGTTACATGTTTGCTGTTTGGCCTGTTTTATTTTTCAGTATTTTAGGTGAGAATTAGAACTTGATCCAGTGTTTTACATATTTTACTGGCTCCATATATGTCTATATACATGAGAAAAATGACTGTAGTTCAATTGTAAATTCCAGTTGATTTAATTTTACATAAAGCCTTTGTCTGCATTTGTATGTGAAAAGGAATGTTATAATTAAAGTTGTGGCAAAAATATTAATAATATTTAGAGTACCTCAGAGGGTTTCCAATAGAAGGCATTTTAATATCTGGTGTAATAAATTAGTTTTCTTATGTTTTTCATCTCTTTTATTAGAATTATTGGGCAAAAAAAATGAGGGAAATTTTGTTTATCAAGAAATGCTCTCTGAAACATTGGATTCTTATTTTGTTTTCATTTTACAGAATTCTAAAACAATTGTATTTACTATATTTTATTTCTGATTAGTTTACTCAGGCCCTCCTTCAACTCTATAACAGGTCCTACTTTCTTTCGGTGCCTGTGAGTACATCAAATTTGGCTCAAGCTTCTCTTATTCTTTTTATTTTCTCTAAAGTTTGCTAAACTTAACAGCAGCAAAATCTTTATAGATTATAACTTACTGATGTAAACTACCTGTTAACCATATTTGTAGGTTTTTCAGTGTCCCATAGAGAAAGTTTATTTTGGCCAAAAAAGGCATTTAATCTTATTCTGTTTGTCTTTCTTCCTGCCATCCTGTTACTCACTTGCTTGCTCCTTCATTTATTTAGAAATTATTTGCCAGATGATTGAGACATATACCAGACATTTACTTGGGATAGC